CATTTTGTAATTTGGTATTTTTATTCCAGATATCTGGTTTGCCATTTCTCCATCAATTATCGAACCGATTCATGGCCATTTAAAAAAAATTCCTCCTTCTTTTCCATTCTCTTTTGTTTCTGTTTCTTCTTTTTCTTGACAAGTTCTTTTTCCTTATTGTCATCTCTGAGGAAATTCTCTTCTGGATTCCAATGACATGGTGTTTGAGTGAGAGATTTTCAGTATTAACTCAAAACGAATGAAATTCCACCCCTTTCCAAGTTTCTACGCTTTGATTAAGGTAATTTGCAACTTGCTTTTTTCAGATGAGAAGAGACGATAGCTATCATCTGTATTTCTGATGGCCGTGAGACAATCTGGGAATAATTCCTTAAACTTTTCATGTGAAATATATCCACATGGTAGTGAGACTGTTGAAAGAAATATGGATCGGGTGAGGGAGGATTCATAATTTTTATATTAAATTGTATAAATTATTTGGAACTGTTGTGGAGATGGTCCATCTTCATCTTCCACTTCAACAACATCTCTTCGATTAGTGTTGATTCTCCTCTCACAATATCTTCATATCATCAATTAGAACTGAATTTGAGCCATTGAACATTCATCTACCAACATCCCACTTAAAATAATAATTGCAATCTATTACTAACATTGGCCTCAAGGAAGGACCTCACACAAACATAAAGGAGTTGCCCAACACACCGTTCCACTCTTAAGGACGGACTGGATACTTCATAGATTGTGCAAGTTTTCAGAGTTTCATCTCCATTAAAAAAAAACATAAAAAATCGCGCACCCGTTCCGATGATGAGAATTAATAATAATTCTGTGATGATGAAGGTGGCTTTTGCTGTTGTTGTTATCATGATGATGCTTGTCTCTGAACTTCAAGGTATTGAATTGGACAAGATGATTCAAAATACTAGATCGGTTACTAAATTCCAAGGATTGGGTGATCGTTTGACACATACATTCTTCAGCAAAACTCCAATTCCATTGAATGAAAGTGCTGCTGTTGCCTCTAATGAATGGAAATTGTTAGATGGTGCTCGTGTATGTCATGAATATTTGGGCATTCCATATATTAATAATAGAGTTATTGTCTATTATACCAATAAGGGACAATTGAGTGGATTTGGAGTTCAATTACATGAGGAATTAAAGAATGGATCAACTGTTCCAGGATTTTGGACCAAGCTCTCCAAAGATAGATATCAAATTGATATTGCTACTCGTGATCCAAAGTTTGCATGCTCTTTAGATACTGACATTTATGGAGGACCAATTGGTGATCGTTTAATTGTCCAACCAGGAAAGCTTAATTTTGAAATTCCACTTACTGACAAGTTAGCTACTGCTCGTCAATTCATTAAAGGGGCCTGCATATCAGGGATGGGAACCCACTTTGGGTATGATGTTTACACTGCTCCACACTTGAGTGGTTGGAGTAAAACTTTGGTTCCAGTTATTCCAATGTATCATGAAGGTCAAGTTTCTGCTGTCTTATTCTATTCACACAGTGTTCAAGAATGTTATCCAATTGGTCAATGGGAAGGTCCATTCATTCCATGGTTATTCTGTAAGAACTTTTGTTCTGATGATTGTATGAAGCATGAAAGTAGTCTTACCATGTTCACAACAATGCACTTTTTATTCCACGATGCTGATTTAAATACTTGTCCAGAAAGATGTCCAGGTAGTGGAAAAACTAGATTACACTAATCTCAGTAAAATTATTATTATTGAACTGATCAATTCGTCAAACTCAATTAAGAAAGGTGTTTTTATTAAAGTTTACTGAGATAAAGTAGTGTAGAGTTGTGAGGAACGATGTAACATTAGTATTTAAACACAAATTGTAAACAATAAAATTGAGTTGATAAATAATTTTTATGCTCAACAAAAGAAAGTGTATTGAAATAATTCAAACACCAAGCAAAACGAATATCTCTAACATTCGTCAAAGAGTTTCAGCAAACAAATCTTCAACTTCTACCAACAAGTCAAGTTACATCCTAGTAACTGACAATAGTAGCTCAGTATCACTCTTCTCTATGGTTGACCTTAGATAACAACAAAGCTGGTTCTGAAAAGAACCTTGATGCTAATTTTCAACACCATCACTTCTTTGGGTGAGAGAAGAAAGCATCTTGAAGCCGTTTCACCTGATCAACTTAATGAAGACCTAAAAATAAAGTCAATGACTTGATGATTCTTTGAGTGGTTTCATATCTGTAAACTACCAAACTTTCACATCATCATCTCAACATCATTTAAATAGTAGTTACAGTAGTAATTTTTATTATACTTTCATCATACAGCAAACTCAATAAAGACGTATCTAGCATTCATAAAAAATATCATAGATTGGAATTTTGTTTTCATCAAGATAGGTACATGCATATATTTAAAATATTACATGGACCATATTTCAACATGTACTTCATCATCAACCAAACTTTCTTCGAATAGTACCATTCAAATACATCATCAACAACACTCCGAATAATAGTTTTTGGATATTTGGAGTTTTCACCTTGTTGGTGGTGTATTCATCATTCACCATATATTTTCATCATGATGATTGAATTTCAACAACGTAGTATCATTAGCAGGGATGTCTAATATCACCATCAAGAGAGTTTGAATTTTCCACTTAGTATTCATAGAGTTGTGGAATTTTCACTTCATCATATCTTTTATCATCAATATCATCAGCAAGTCCACTTCCGATCATTAAGGTTGGAAATCTTTCCACATATTTCAATAATTAAATAAAATTATATTTTTATTATTAGCATTGTGTTTTCTTGTGTCTATTATGAACTGAGATCATGTGGAAAGATCACACAACTGGAATAGGCTTTGCTGTTTCTTTAGTTTCTGTTTGGACAGCTCCACGAATTTGTGCCCAATTTACAAATTCACTGGGTCATAAAAAGTTGATGTGATCGAACAGGTTTAGATTATTGTCTTTTTGGAGGTAGTTCTCTTCATCAGAGCACAAGATCTCCTTGCAATGATAAATTTCATCAGGAATTGAAAAGAACAATTTGATTTTTTGAGAAATTAAATTTATTTTTAAATAATATTTAAATTTTACAAAAATGGAAAGAGTTTGATCATTTTGGAAATTAAATCTTGAATTAATACCATTTTTTAATGTTTGTTGTGCGAACCTTGTTTTTTCAATGAAAATTAAATTTTAATTTAATAATTCTCGAATGGAAATTGAAGTTCGAATAACTTTCTTACTGACATTCGTATTTGCATTGGACGAAAGTGATGATTTTGGCAAATTTGAACTTGTTGTATTCGAAATTGATGGAGTTTGTTGTGGAGAAGCTATAAATTGAGTTTGTGGTTTGACATGTTGTGAAATGATTAGTGACATTGTCGAATCTTGTGAAATTTCACTTGTTGTGCAATCAGATAAATTTTCTAAAAGATTATTCTTGTTGGAAGTTTTCTTGTTGGTTCTTTTCTTGGTTTGCTTTTTGGTTGGCGTGAATTGCAAGTCAATGCCAGATGTCAAACAAAAAACTGATTCATGTTTTGACAGCTGTATTGTTTTCTGGCTTTTGAGAATGCCAAACATGTGATTTGGAGAAGTAGATTGGAAAGTGAATGTTGTATGATTGGTGGCAGATGGCATGTTGTTGTTTTTTTGTGTTTGAAAATTATCAGATTCTTGACGAAACTAATTCTAAACATGTTATAACAATCGCCATATTTAGACACCCTCTCCATAGAGAGAGAATACAAATTACAATTT